AAAGCATTAGAAGCCAATTATGACCACATTAATGCATTGTGAATTTTTATTGAATACCATCAATGGTGTGAGACCAGAAATTTGTTGGAGTTTTACAAATACATAGTATAAATGAGCTATTTGGGGAAATTATTTTAAATAGTATATGTATAATTTGGTCTTGAATTATAAACATCATAGGCTTTCTAGATCATTTTTATTTTCTCCAAAAGAACAAGAAGCCTAGCTTTTCCAAATGTGGCCAAGCATTACTTCACAGCACAGTTATGATCTTTGCCCTCCTGGCTCACATTAGACTTCTTAAACCGATGGATTGAAATAGAAAAGCTCTGGTTATCCCCCACCCACCCAAACTCCATGATGTGGAGCTCTAATGGTTCTGTGAACCTGTCCAATCTTCTATGACCTATGACACTTACTTTTTCTTTACAGTGTAGAGCCAGAAATCAACACCCCTAATGACCACTGCATCTCTTGCAACATCCTTTCTATTTACCTCTGCTATCCCAGACAACTTAACTACACAGATGTCCCAACCTTGGCAGGAAAAGCCCTTGTTCCATTTTGACCACTGGATAGATGCCAGAACTGGGAAACTGTGCTCCTTTCAAGATCTTCAAAATGCTTACGAACTTCCCAGGCAGGCACTCGCAGATCTGAAATTACACTCAAGCTCCCTTAAATTCCCTAACTTACCGCCATGCAAGAAAATCAGCCTGGGTGCTCCATCAAGCAAGAAATTGTTCTCACAAATATACAAAGTTCTGCCCCCCCCCCCCCCCACCAAACATTGATACATGGCCACGTTGGAGCAAATACCAGGTAAGGAGCTGCCCTGGGAGATGTGGCAATTTTTATGGTTTCAAGCTGCTAGATCCTCAATATGAAAGACAGTACAAAAATAATTAATACAAAATACATTTTCAGTGGTACTACACTCCAGACAAGCTATGTGCCCTATTCCCTTTGACTGATGATAGATTGTGGAGATTCAGAAAGGGTCTTGGAACAATTCCACATATATATTAGTATTGCCTCCATATCACATCTTATTGGCAAACTATTCATACCCTGATTTATTGCCTTTTTGACACCTGGATCTCTTTTAAATCTAATACTTTTCTTTTAGATTTACCTCCTTCCAATATTTTCTAGGACATCTAAACAATTGTTGGCACACATCCTTATGGCTGGAAAACATGTGAACCTCTCTCTCTGATGGAGCTTTACTCCAGGATCAGGGACATCAAAAAGATGGAATACTTTACTGCTATCATTAACGACTGTCAATAAATGCAATAAGGTGTGGAGACGGTGGCATAACTTGGAGAACCCTCCCTAATCTACCATATTGCATCTTTATAAGCCTACCCACTAAATGTGGGTATTAGGCAGGTGGTGCAGGGGCCCTGGATGGTAATCAAGGATGCTGGTCCTTTATCCCATTTTCCCTTCCCACTGTCACTTCTTTCTCCAGATTTCTGTTGTTCCTCTTCTGTTTCTTTTTTTTACACGAGTTGCTACACTATCTCCTCACTTGATTGATTGATGCACCTAATGACAACTATTAGGCTCCATGTACACGGTGTGTTTGGAGAACTCTTCTGAACGCTGGAAATTGACAGCAGGAAAACGCACGTTAAAAAAACATCAGTTTTGCCGCGTTTGCATACTGGGTTTATGTGTGTTTAGACACATTTATGAGCGTTTGCGTTCAGAAGCGTTTTTTTAAAGATATGCACAGGAGAACCTCCCAAATGCCCATAATGCACTGGAAAATGGTAAATTATTAACTATTTCAGACTGTTTGATAGAAATAGAGAGAGTAGAAGCATAGAGAGCAGTATTTGTTGAGATTAGCTGTCTTTTTTTTGTGGTGTTTGGATGGGTTCCAGCTAATTTCTGTGCAGAAATTATTGCAGCAGTGTCTAACATATTTTCTTGCGAAACCTCAAAGTATGGTGTACCAGGTCCATTTGAGTACCGGGAAAACGCTTTGCATGTATTTTTCATGATGAAAAAAGGCTCTGGGCAGCATCTGGAAATGGAAGAGTTAAAAAAAAATTCCAAACACAAACACTTAGAAATGTGGTAAGCCGCGTTTACAAGCGTTTGGCATTTGAAACTGATAAAAATCTACTCCTGAATGCAAGCTTGGTGCGTTAAAAAAACGACTGTAAACTCAACTGCCTGTAAATGACTGTAAGTGACATAGTGAACATGGACACATAGGAAAACATTAGGGAGAGTTCAGGGGCTGCTGAAAAAAAAAAAACGCAGAAAAGCTCCTGAACGTCAACTTATCATCTGCAGTGTACATGGAGCCTTAATGCAAAAGCCCTTCTGTGGCCTCACTAACACCTCAGTTGTTTCTTGTATCATGTTGGTGTATGGCTATGCTGACTGATTTACTCAGATGATTTGCTCATTTATAGACCTTGGCCTTTACAGGATGTGCTTAGCAATCTCATGTCTGACCTTTCAGCCCATGGTGTAAGAGTTACTGCAAGCCACTTTTTTTGTATACTTGAAACACTGTTTTGTATGATCATTGGTTTTTACCCTAGGGTTTACTGTACATCATCTTTTTATTGTAATTCAAAAATACTTTAAATAATAATAGTTACAAAAAAATAGTATATGTAACAAAAATATGAAACATAGATCTGCATTAGCAGCATGTGGATCTAAAGAGCAGATGGCTGAAACACTGAATCAGCAGCTGCTGCAATGTAAACCACATTTATGTGCAAATTCATATATTTAAATAGTATAAATGTAAGAGAATATAATGAACAGACTTGCCACACAACATATGCAAATTCATATTTAGAAAACAGCTACATGTGAGATATTTTAATAAACAAATCAATTTTTAGAATTTACTTCATGCTGTGTGATTAAAAGAAGAAGACCATTTTAATGGGGTCTCTAAAGCACAAGTGTTCAATAAATTGCAAAGGGATTATTAACATATTGGAATGGGGTTTTTAATAGTAACTTTAACAGAAGTCTGAAAAAAAACCTAAAGGGATACATTATTACGTTAGTCTTTTTTTTTTTAGCAGGCCATTAAAAACTTCTGGTTGCATTCAGGATGAAAGATATGTATGTCCCAGATTTCGGCAGTACGTGGGATATTGTTGGTTTTGATTACATGAGGGAGCTGAGGTTGTTTGGGCTGTCTGATTAGTCAATGAGCCCAGCTGAAGAAGGTCTGGTATTATGAGCTCCAATCCCAGCCTACTCAGGGATTTTGTTCCAAACTGGAACCAGTTTCTGTGCATGTTAGTGTGGGGGACCATTGGACTACCTATATGATGAAAGACAGCTTATGTTTGGCGAGGCATGGCCTGTGTGGCAAGGACTTTATTTGCATAGAGTTAGCCACCTGCTCAGCAGTAGGTTGCCCCAGGTCTGTTAGCCAGGGACTCTGTGTGTTTTATGTTGCCAAGTGGCAAGATTTTATTTTTTTTTTTCTGTTTTGTTTTTCTGTTTATTTCTCCTGTATAGTATTTCTAAATATGATGCATGTGTGTTCAACTATTTGCTATGCCTGTTTAAAGTGTTTTGAACCAGACACATCCTTCTTCCAAACTAAATCCTCACAATGAAAGTAATCAACATAAATATGAACTGAACTAAAAAAAAAAATCAAAACGATGACAAGTAGTATTTTTATGACAGAAGGGATCCTATTGGTCTCTTCTATCATAACTGCTTCTCCCTGAAAAACTCTTCTGACCACTGGAAACTGACTGCTAGAAAACATTAAAAAAACATCAGTTTAGCCGCATTTATGCATGTTTGCGTTTAGAAGCGTTTTTAGAAGATAACCTCAGGAGATCCTCCTTAATGCCCAAAATGCACTGAAAAATAGTAAATTCACTAAAAAAGGCTACTAAAATATCGCATGAGTTATTTTATCAAGTCATGCGGTATTTTAGTAGTGAAAACTATGAAGACGATGTTTCAACTGTCAGCGGAATTCCCCACTGACAGCAGAATGTAAAATAAATAATTGCCGGCATTTAAAAAATAATACCAAAATGGCGTGGGGTCCCCCCCTCCCATCCATATCAAGCCCTTTGGGTCTGGTATGGATTTTTAGCGGAAGCCCATGCCAAAATTAAAAAAAAAAAATGACTTGGGGTTCCCCCCCAAAATCCATACCAGACCCTTATCCGAGCAGGCAGGTCAGGAAAGGGGGGAGCCAGCGAGGGCCCCCCCTCCTGAACCATACCAGGCCACATGCCCTCAACATGGGGGGGTGCTTTGGAGTGGAGGGGGCCCCCCCAAAGCACCTTGTCACCATGTTGATGAGGACAAGGGCCTCTTCCCCACAAACCTGGGCTGCGGTTGTGGGGGTCTGCAGGCTTATCAGAATCTGGCCCCCAGATCCTGCCCCCCACGTGAATGAGTATGGGGTAGATGGTACCGCTACCCATTCAGACAAAAAAAAAGCTGTAGTGTGAAAAAAGATAGGAGACATTCTTTAACAAGTTCTTTATTAAAAGAAGGAAAATAAAAGAATATCCCCCGAAGTAGATCCAAGGTCAATCACAATGCCCACCGTCACCGCCTTAAATATGTAAGGGGCGGGGGCCATCACATATGTGACCCCACCCCCATGTGATGTCATACAGGGGGTCATACTGGTGATGACACCAGGTGGCCACACCCCTAACATATTTAAGAACTGTCAAACCAGCTCAGAGGCAGACGGCTGGGGGCAAGCATCGGGAGCGGGCTTTTTTTTTTTCGGAGCGGTGGCGGCAGGCATCGTGATTGACGTTGGATCTACTTCAGGGGGCATTCTTTTATTTTCCTTCTTTTAATATAGGACTTGTCAAAGAATGTCTCCTGTCTTTTTTCACACTACAGCTTTTTTTTTGTGAATGGGTAGCGATACAATGTACCCTATACTCATTCACGTGGGCGGGCCGGGATCTGGGGGCCCCCTTGCTAAAGGGGGCTTCCAGATTCTGATAAGCTCCCTGCCTCCCTGCCCGCAGACCCCCACAACTACAGCCCAGAGTTGTGGGGAAGAGGCCCTTGTCCCCATCAACATAGGGACAAGGTGCTTTGGTGGGAGAGTTCCCCCTACCCAAAAGCACCATCCCATGTTGAGGGCATGTGGCCTGGTATGGTTCAGGAGGGGGGCGCTTGCTCCCCCCCCCTTTCCTGACCTGCAAGGCTGTATGCTCGGATAAGGGTCTGGTATGAATTTTGGGAGGGACCCCCACGCCATTTTTTTTTTTATTTTGGCGTGGGGCTTCCCCTCAAAATCCATACCAGACCCGAAGGGTTTGATATGGATGGGAGGGGGGACCTCACGCTGATTTTTTAAAATTATTTTTTAATTGCTGGAAATTCTTTCTTTTACATTCAGCTGTCAGTGGGAACCCCGCTGATAGCTGAAACATTAATGCATGCTTTTCACTACCAAAATACCACATGATTTGATACAATAACTCATGCGATATTTTAGTAGCCTTTTTTAGTGGATTCAAATGGAGTTTTTTTTTTTAAATGCTACATGGTATCCTACCACATACTCGGATGCAGTAAGATACCATTTAGTGAATTGTGCCCTGGATATTGACCAGTTAAAAACACTCCTAAATGCAAACGCTTATAAATGCGGTTAACCACATTTACAGGCATTTACAAGCATTTACAAGCATTTGGCATTTGCAACGCTAGTAAAATCTACTCCTGAACGCAATTTTTCTGCATTCAAAAAAAAACGACTGTAAACTCAACTGCCTGTAAACCACTGTAAATGATGATGTGTATGTGGACCTCCAGACACAGTGGAACACCAATCGTCGGATGGGACCTCTGTGTGATTGGCCAATCAGTGATCACATGCAGAGTAGTAAGCAAGATGTCACTTTTGACATCATTGCTTACTACATGTGAAATCTGTGAATGATCACAGAGGTCACATGGTACAAGGCTGTTCACAACAGCCTTGTACCATGTGACAAGCTGTGACCAATCACATCTCACACAGTAGTTCTCAATGGCTGCAATAATGCAGCTAGAGAGAAGGAGAAATGATTGATTTTACAGCCTTTATGGGTGTAAAAGCAATCAGTGTAAAAAAAATAAAAATCTTCATCACCCCCCACAAGTAGTAGTGTCACCATGGTGACACTGTACTGCTAGCATGACAGTGTGTAAAAAAAAACCATAGATAATAATATAAAAACATTTTAAAAATGTAAAAAAAAGTTTAAAAATTATAATTTTGGTTATAAACTAATTTGGGTTATTTTTTTTTTTTACTAAAAAGATAACGGAATAAATTTTGGCCAAGATTTATGATGAAAAATACTATTTATTTGCAAAATTTTATAAGAAAAACACTTCTATTCAAAATGTTTGGACTTTTTAATTTACATAGCAAAAAAAATAAAAATCCCAGTGGTGAATAAATACCACCAAAATAAAGCTTTATCTGTTTCAAAAAAATGCTAAAAAACGCATATGGGTACAGTGTTGCATGACCGTGCAATTGTCATTCAAAGTGTGATAGCACTGAAAGCTGAAAATTGGCCTGGACAGGAAGGGGGTAAAAGTGTCCGGACTAGAAGTGGTTAAAACTGAGAATGTTTAATTCTGCTTTAATGTAAATCTTTAATGTGTGATTTTTTTTTTATAGTTTGCAAATCTTTACACATATGGGAGCAGCCATACTTGTTCACTATTTAGATTGAAAGCTCTAACGAACAGGACCGTCTGATTCCTCCTGTGTTGAATTGCATTGCAACTGTACTGTCTGCCCTCATGTTGTAAAGCACTGCACACACTGTTGGCGCTATATAAATCCTGTATTATAATAATAATAATAATAATAATAATAATAATAATATACAGGTTGTGCTTCCTTATCTATCAGAAAACACAGAAGCACAACCTGCTACTCTTCTTCTCTGTGCTACTTTAAAGTGAATCTACGTACCAACTATGCCCACTAAATTATAAGACCAAATCAATTTGAACCAGGTGACTATGAATGTTCAGGTTTTGTTTTGTTTTGTTTTTTTTCCATAATTTTTTGACTGTTGTGATGGTGGACTATTCTGGTACACAACAGGACACTTTGCTGTTCCAATATAAGTCAAAATGTAGAGGTACTGAAAACGCTGTGTCAGGGATCCTGGCCATTCAGCGTCGCGAGCATGTGCAGATCGCCGATTCTTCCTGGCTGGCGAACACAGAGATCGTGGCGGCGGCGGCCGCGCATGCGCACTAGCAATCGTGGCCGCACCAATGGAAACACAGGGCGCCCTATTTAAATCTGCCCTGTGCATTTCCAAATTGCCGCAAGGTCTTGTTCCTGTTCCTGCTAGTACGTTTCCTTGTTGCCAAACTCTGCCTGTTCTGGCTTATGCTGACCCTCTCCTGCTCTGATCCCGGCTCGTCCCTGACTATTCCTTGCCTGTCGTTACTACTATTGGACCCTCTGTTACTGAGCCCGGCGTGTGACCTGACCACTCTTTTGTACCGCATCTGCCCCCACTGTTACCGACCCGGCTAGTCTGACCACGCTCACTCCGGCAGTCATCCATCCATCCCGCTCGGACCTGTCATCCCCTTTACAGCAGGCTCATCCTGGGCACGTACCCTCAGCGGAACCCTCTACCATAGTTGAATGCAACCAGGGGTCGCGACCTGGTTCCAGTCGGGCATCAAGTCCATCCCCACCATCAGGGGCTCTGGTGAAGAGGCAGACTGGGACTTAGACTCCGCGTCCTAGGGAACCCCGTTCTGTGGACCATTAGAGATCCCGTTGGGCGGAGCCTGACAGTACCTTGCGGCCATGACTGAGTCTGGAAGGGGAACTTCCCCCCTGGATGATCTGTGCCGACACATTGCCACCCTCACAGAGGGGGTTAGGCTCCTCCAGGAGGGCTATACAGAATTAAGTGACCGTATGCAGACCTTAGCCACCCCTACCGGGCAGGGTAAAGAGCTCCCTGGGGAAACACTAGTTTTGACACCTGCACCAGAGCCCCGAGTTCCCTTACCGGAACATTTTTTCGGGGATCGAGGTAGATTCAGGAGGTTTCGTATTTCCTGCCAGTTATACTTCGACCTCCAGCCTCGAACGTTTTCATCAGAAACCATAAGGGTCGGGTTCATTATTTCTTTAATACAAGAGGAACCCCAAGCCTGGGCCCACCGACTGCTAGAGAACCGAGACCCTCGGTTAGGTACAGTAACAGCATTTTTTAAAGCAATGGCGCTCTTATATGACGACCCAGATACGGCCGCGACGACTGAAATGTCCCTACATACCCTAAGGCAAGGTAATCGGGCAGTGGAGGAATACGCCGCCGAATTCAGGCGTTGGGGTGGTGACACCAAATGGAATGAGGCGGGCCTGTCTCACCAATTTCGCATGGGGTTAACCGAACCACTGAAGGACGAGCTGGCCCGAGTTAACATGCCCGATACTCTTGAGGGCCTAATAACCTTATCTATTCAGATTGACCGCCGGTTGCGGGAACGTAGGAGGGAAAGGTCCAACCAAGAGCAGAGATCAACCAGGCGACTTCCAGTCCAGACCAAGTCCCCACAGGTCAACCGGAACCAGGAATTCACGGATACGTCAAATCTCAGGTCAGCAGGAGGGGTTCGGTCTCCACTAACATCTGAGGAGCGCCAGAGGCGTCAGGTAAATCGGCTTTGTCTTTATTGTGGGGAAGCGGGCCATATAGTACGTACCTGCCCTGCCAAGAGGAGGAGGTTTCCTGCGATATTTTCCACAGTTACTCCTAAGGATAGGAACAACACCAGTTATCTAGCAGTATCTATCTCACTGCAGCTGCCAGGGAGAACTGTGGTAACTACCGCAATTATAGACTCTGGAGCATGTAGCTGCTTCATAGATCTGGATTTCGCAGCTCAGCAGCAGATTCCTTTACAGTCAAAAGAGACGGGGTTAAATATATTCTTAGCTGATGGGTCCCGAATTAGGTCAGGGGTAGTGGACCGTGAAACTCCACCTATTTTTACTACAGTGGCCAACCATCACCAGGAGCTTCTCCGCCTGGATGCCATTGCATCCCCTCTGTTCCCGGTGATCTTGGGCCTCCCTTGGTTACAAGCCGATGACCCGCAGATTAATTGGAAGTCTGGATCAGTTCACTTCACGTCATCCTATTGCCAGCAGCATTGCCTTCCTAGTGCGTCTCTGGCACCGCAGGCTTTGCTCTGTCTGGATATGGATGCAGAATTGGCTCAAGCCATTCCTTTAGCCTACCATAGTTATTTAGATGTATTCAGTAAGCGGGGGGCAGAGGTCCTGCCCCCGCACCGAACATATGACTGCCCGATTGATTTGCTCCCAGGCTCGGAAATACCTTTTGGGCGAATATTTCCGCTGACTGAACGGGAATTAGGGGTTCTAAAGGAGTATATTGACGAAAGCCTCCGCAAGGGGTTCATTCGGCCCTTCACTTCACCAGCTGGGGCTGGTATTTTTTTTGTGGAAAAAAAAGACAAATCCCTACGACCCTGTGTAGATCTGAACAAAGTAACTGTCAAGAATCGTTACCCGCTACCTCTAGTCCCTGAGCTCTTTCAGAGATTAAAGTCAGCTTCTATCTTCACTAAACTGGACTTGAGGGGAGCATACAATCTAGTCCGCATCAGAGAGGGGGATGAATGGAAAACAGCATTCCGTACTAGATTCGGGCATTTTGAATACTTGGTCATGCCCTTCGGCCTATGTAACGCGCCTGCCACTTTCCAACACTTCATTAATGACGTATTTAGGGACTACCTGGACATCTTTGTTGTCGTATACCTAGACGACATCCTGATCTTTTCCCCATCCTTAGAGGTCCATAGGGGGCACGTGAGGTACGTTTTGGAACGGCTCCGCCAACACGGTCTATATGCTAAGGCAGACAAGTGCTGCTTTGAGCAGCATAGCATTTCCTTTTTGGGTCTGACCATTTCCACTACAGGAATAGCCATGGATCCCCAAAATGTGTCAGCTATCTTAGATTGGCCCATACCCACTGACAAGAAGGCGGTCCAACGGTTCATAGGCTTCACAAACTTCTATAGGAAGTTCATTAAGAACTTTTCAGGCTTAGTTTCCCCGATTACTCAGTTAACCAGACAGGGGGTCCGTTTCCAGTGGACACCAGAAGCGCAGGAAGCGTTTATGACCTTAAAGAGGTTATTCACTGAGGCCCCTATCCTGAGCCATCCTGACTCATCTATGCCCTATATCCTGGAGGTGGATGCGTCTGAGAACGCAGTGGGGGGGCGATTTTGTCGCAGAGGAAGGGCATTAAAGAGCTCATGCACC